ATTTTCGGTATAAGTTAAACGATATTAGTTTATATGTAACTATATTAATTGGGCTTGGGACCCGCCACGTAGAAACCAGCTCCAATAAAAAGTTCATCAACGCGGATGAGTTAGCCCCTTTCTGTTGACGATCTTCGAAAATGAATTAAGGATGTCCGGTCCTTTAATTGGGAAGGTGCCGCTGCCCAGCTGGTTGATGTCCTCGTAAGAATAAAGGCTGACATCATCGCCGTCCAATAAGTGCAATGGATGGAACAAGGATGAAAGCGAGTAGGTTCTTGCGACACTTACTACAGTGGCCATATAAGGGAGCACAAATTTGATGTTAGGTTTGTGGTGGGAGAGAGACTCCGTCGTCAAGTACTGGCAGTCACCCAACATATCGTAGATTTGCGCCCATGCCCCGACGAAAGAGAAGGACGATTTGGCCAAAGATGCTTTTTATGAACGCCTGGAGTAAACCTATGAGCGCCGCCTCTGAGAAAATGTGCACATCGCGCTTGGTCAAAAAAGGCATCTTTGGTAAAACTGTTGGAAAATTCATCGTTCACAACAAAACATCCCCTAATGGGTTAATGCTGATCGATTTCGCCGGGGTCCGAAATATGGTGGTCTGTAGTACTAGATTCCAGCTGCCCCCTGATCGAAAAATACAAACCAGATCGATCATGTTGTGACAGACGGAAGACATGTCTCCTGTGTTCTTGACGTGCGAGCACTCCGAGGACCCAACATCGACTCGGACCATTATCTTGTTGGAGCTAAGACACGCATGCGCCTCTGTGTATCGAAGAACGACCGTCAACAAACACAAGGAAAGTTCGACGTTGAAAAGCTGCAACTACAGCAGACTGCCGAACGATTTTCTACTCGACTTGCACTCCTGCTCTCTGAGCACATATCAGCAATTCGGTATCGGGACCTGTGAGACGGCATCTCAAACTCCTTAAAGACTGCAAACGAAACTATTGGATTTTGTAAAGGTCGCAAAAGCAGCCGGTACGATGAGGACTGCCGTGTCGCAGTGGAGAGAATACAGATTACCTACCTCGCGATCGGCCAAAACTCGTACGGGATGCAATAGATACCAAGAGATTAAGAGAGAAGCAAGACGCATATGCAGATAAAAAAAGAAAGAGGGCGAGGTGCGTGAATATGAAGAGCTTGACAAAGGTGATGCTCGAAAATTCTATAAGAGGATACGACGACTTACAGAAGGTTTCAACACCGAAGGAGACTCTTGTAGGACGCAAAGAGGTGATATAGCCACCCATGCCCAGAGTATATTAAATCTATGGGGGAACGCTTCTCCAACCTGGTGAATGGCAGTGAAAATGGAGAATATGAGATGGTCAACCCGAAGCCCCAATCGATGATACAGGAAAAAACGTTCCATTACCCGACCATGAAAAAGTTCTAATGGCAATCGCCCACTTATAAAACAACAAAGCGGCAGGGACCGATGGTTACAGGAAGAGCTATTCAAATACGGCGGCGGTGAAGAACTGATCAGGTCCGTGCCTCAGCTTCTTAGCAAATATGGTCGGATGAAAGCATTCCTGACGATTGAAACCTAAGTGTGCTCTGTCCAATCCACGAAAAAGGCGATCCCACAGTCTGCTCCAATTACCGTGGAATAAGACTTCCTAACATCGCATATAAGGTCCTATTAAGGGTATTGTGAGAAAGACTTAAGCCCACCGTCAGCAAATTGATTGGACCTTATCAGTGTAACTTTATACCTGGAAAGTCAACTATTGGCCAGATATTCACAATGCGCCAAATCTAGGAAATGACCCGTGAAAAGAGGATCGGCACACACCACCTTTTCGTCGATTTTACAGCAGCATGCGATACCTCGAAAAGGAGCTGCCTCTACGCCGCCTTGTCTGAATTTGATGTCCCCGCAAAACTTATGCGGCTATATAAGCGGACCTCTCCGAGCCGTTCGATACCAAACAAGGTTTCAGACAGGGTGGTTCCTTATCGTGCGACTTTTTTAACTTATTGCTGAAGAAAATAATACGAGGTGCAAAGCTGAACAGGGAAGGGTACAATCTAATACAAGACTGTACAGATGCTTGCGTACGCTAATGATATTGACATTATTGGCCTCAACAACTCCGCCGTTAGTTCTGCTTTCACCAGACTGGATACAGAAGCGAAGGATATGGGCCTGGTAGTGAACGAGGGCAAGACGAAATATCCGCTGTCATCACACAAACAGTCATCGCATTCGCAACTCGGCTCCCACGTCACTGTCGACAGTCGAAACTTTGAGGTCGTAGATAATTTCGTCTGTCTAGAAACCATAATTAGCACCAATAAGCCTTGAACTCTGCCTTGAAATTCAGCGCAGAATCACTATTGCCAACAGGTGCTACTTTGGACTGAGTAGGCAGTTGAAAAGTGAAGACCCAACCGACGAACGAAATCCAAACTCTACAAGTTCCTCATCGTTCCCATCCTGCTATATGGTGCGGAAGCGTAGACGTTGACAACATCTGATGAATTGGCGTCAGGAATTTTCAGGAGAAAGATTTTGCGTAACAAGAAACGAATGGCGCAATGTTGTTAATCGGCTTAAATCGCGTTAGCGGTGTCTACGCTAGCAAAGTAAGTAATATTAATTATTCATTTTCCTCTCTTATCTGATTTAGATACACATCATCCTAGGAGTCCATTTACATACACACAAGTGCCTTCGTACACTTCAAAAGCACAATGAAATAATAACTGCGATAATGGCATGACATGAATGTTGATGATTGTGCCATTTCTAATAATGTGCGCCAAACGAATGTCTGCACGGAAATAATGTACATTTATACACACGGCCGGATTTGGAATAACTGTTAAGAGCACTGAAGATAATTTGAAATACTAAATTGGTTGGAGCATCGGTAGCATTATACTAATACTGATGTTGGCAAGCAAGAGTGAAACAAGATTGAACTAATTCAAGATGACTTTCAAATTATGTACATGTTTTAGAATTAAAATCATATGGGTACCGGGTCATTACGAAATCACAGGCCTGCTTTTGTTGATATTACCTCTTGGTTAATGTCAGACCATAACCAAACTCAGCAAGCGCTAGAATAACATCGCCAAAAGTGAACCAACAAAGAACAGAGAAATTTTCATCGGCCGGACGAAAATACCAACCCATCAACCCTTCATCAACACACCCCCAATGCAGTTTTTTCTAACTTGGCTGAAGCGACCGCGGACAGCACCTCGAAGGTATCTCTGAGAATATTCTTTTAACAGATGCTTTGATGAGACCTTCGCTCAAACTTCCCAATTTCTCTTTAGAAAGATTTGCATTCCCTTGTCCAGAATCAGCCACATAGCATCCCAAGACTTGGCTTTCGGAAAATAACTCACAACTGGGACAGCCACTTTAACTTTTCCTTAAATCCGACCCTGTTTGCTCCTACATATTTTGGCTATGTACATATGTACATACATACGAGCACAGGCAAATGTAATTATATATGTGCATATATATTTTGTGCGTCCGGCGTATTTTGTTAATTTGATTTCGCAATTCTTATTTATGACGTTTGCCAGTGCCAATATTTACCAAACAGATGAACAAACAAAGCGAGTGACAAGCCGATGAGTGGACGGTTGGACGGTGGCACGCCGGAACGGTGTGGATCAACAAATATTACTATGTCTGTGGTCACGCATAATTATGATACTTAACAAAGTCACCACAAAGTATTCCGCACAGTCAGCAGCAATCTAATAATAAATGCAAAAACAGGAGCTATAGCAGAATTATCAACAATACCAACAACAACAATACAGCTGCTGTTGCTAGCAATGCCAAAACAAAAATGTACAAAATTACGGTAAAAGCCACAATTGCCAACAACAGTTCAAATAGTCATTTAAATGTACATCTTTATGGCTTTTCAGTAAAACACCGAAACAAATAGATAGATATACATATATATGTATATATGTATGTATGTATGTATGTATGTATGTACATACAATACAAACTTATGAAACTATTTCAAGTGTTGTCGAGCGAAAGTACATACATAAATAAGAGAGAGAGATAGAGAGAGAGAGAGAGAGAGAAAGCAACAATGCTTCTTACCAGCGAACACTGTAACCTAAAAAATTAAATAAAATATGAAGCTTACGCCTCATACCAATCACTAACGATATATGTATGTTTTATATTACATGTACATACATATATTCAAATAATTGCACATACACACATACATACTTACTGCTCGAGTATGTCATTTGTGCAGTCATTCGTACGAGCTTTACGGCCATTCAAGCGTATTGCCGCCCGTCCACCCACTTTGGGATCGCTGCTCTTCAATTCTCATTTCCTCTGTGAAACTCTGTGAATATTTAAGCGCACAATCCTTTCAACAAAATGTTTGCATTTCAATATATACATACATATGTTTGAAAGTAAATATATATACATACGTGTATGTAGGTATGTATGTATGTGCATGTTTGGCACAAGTCAGCCCCGAACCTACGAAGGGTTTGTTCAATATGGTACAAAAACAACAATTGCACGAACTAAACAAATAACAAACTGTATGCATACCGTTCTGTAAGGCCACTAGATAGTCGGTATGAATGCTAAAGCGCCTTAATTTATACTTTAATAAAAGATATGACTTTGCGTATAATGCAAATACTTCACATGAAAGAAAGAAACAGACAATGTGATAGTCAGTGGAATATCGTAGAACAAAAAATATTTATTCAACAAATAAATATATTTATTAACCGGGGCATAAGTGTTTTACTTATTTGTCAATTAATATTGTTCTAGTTTTCATTTGTATGGAAATGGAAATCTATGTCGATTTATACCGATTCAACCTTACCAAGCTTTTGGAAATATCATCTCAAGGATACAAGCAACGTCAGTATCCCCGCAAGAATACTAAGCTTGCACAATCTACACTGTCTTACAGGAATTTAACGTTACTCTGCTGTGCTTTCAGGTTCCACGCCATTTTGAAGACGCTGAAATCTGAGGCAGTCGATGGTTGCAGTCTCACAAGCTAGAGCGGTCCCAGCGCGAGTCAGCTCAACCGTTGTTTAATTACCTTGTAAGTTGTATTGGACTGAAACTCAAGCGTTTATTGGCTCTATGATTTACTCTCACAAAATTAGACTTTGTTTTGACGCATTTAATTGCTTTAATTTCCACTTGGATATCCACAAGTAATCTAAAGATATGTAATGCTCACAATCAAGTATAAGAATAGAACAGGTGCACGTCGCTCAACTGAGAATATTACAGCTGCGGCCCACAGTGTTGAAAAACCCCCAGGTTTGCCTCGTCATTCTTTGGAATAGGGCATTCCACAAACGTGATTACACCATATTTTGCATAAGGACTTAGGAACTGAAGCCGGCCGATCATCAATAACGTCAGGTCTTTGCTGTGCGGGGAATTTCATTGAAAAACTATCTTGACTGATGAGGCCTATTTCCATCTGGATGGTTGTTGTTGAAAAGCCTATCCTTCCTCAACGTGTAACTAACTGTTTGGTTTGGTTTATGGTCCGGCCGTGTCAACTTTTACTTTCAACAAGAAAACGCTCTCAGCCATACAAAGAACGAAACATATCGACCTTCTGAAGGACCCTATTATATTTCGAAGAGGTGATCGCAATTGGCCACCGCGATCTTGTCTACGCCAACAGGCCAATCTCGATTCAAGACCCCAAAGATGAGATTCCGGCATACAGCAGTCGCTTTGCGATTTGGTGATCGAAAATTGCTAAAAAGGAATACAGTCCTCTTAGTGTAGCCGTGGCGGACATTTGGCTGGTATTGTTTTCTTTTATTAATGGCAAATAAATATCCCTATGATTTGGAAATAATCCCGTTTTTATTTATTTGCGCGTTTAGCTTGAGTGTGAATAAACTAAAAGATCTGAATAGTTCGAGCCATTCATGTTAATATTTTAAGTGAAAGGCTTTAAACAGCGAAAAAGTGACCCACACATACAAATACGTGTATATAGATATATCAATTTATATACAAACAGTGAAACCCCCCACAGGCGGACACTTAAGATTCCACAATTTGTGGCCGCTTATGGGAGTTGAAGATTAAGACTTTAATAAAATAAATTTTATATTACTTTTTAACGTTAAACTATCATAAATTTCTTTTTTTTTAAGATAAATTCTGTATAATTGAATATATCAGTATATATTTAAGTAGTAAACCGTAGTCTGTTGCAGTTTTCCCTGTGTTTGTTCTATAAAACAATTTTCAATGTGGCATTTGTCAATATTATTGTATTCCGTATTAAGAACTTTGTCGACTAAAAAGTCTTCAAAATGCTGCTCTAGTCCATTTTTATTCAAAATGTTCATCAAGCGGAGGCTTTTGAAAACTGGCTTTTGAAAAACAGTTCTTATGTGTTTGTGTCGTTACGTCGTCCCATGCACATTTAATAAAATAAACAGCCGTCAAAATATTAAAAGTTTTTGAAAGCTTCTCTACTGGAATGTCTCCTAATCTTGTCAATATATGCTTGACGTGTGTAGCCACTCGCACATAATTTCACGAGACATCCAGGATCTCTAATGTGATTTCCATTCCACTGGAGAGCTTTCTATATCGCATTTCTCAAGGCGCGTGGACGATCTGCCTTTCGAATCACTAAAGGCTTTTCTTTATCTCAAATCAGATTGGCACACAATAACAAAGTTACCGAAAGAAAGGCAAGTTTCATCCGCTATTTCGGACTGAAGTCTAACAAAATATCTTATAACTTTTGATTGAGTTGCTGCACATGCAAGGGATTAACCCCGGCAGATTTCCCACATACATATGTGTGTATGTTGAATGTCATTTTATGACGCGGACTAGAGCTTAGCGTCCGCTCATGAGAGTTTTTGTTGGCAATCTATTGTAATTGTCCGTTCATTTGGGGTGCGCGTCCGCATAGGAGAGGTGTTGAAAACATAAAAATTGACCCATGAATTTGCGCGCTAGGTACTGGTAATGGGGAACAAAAAATTCCAATTAATCAGACTTCAGGAAGGATTACATTACCCGATAACTTCCATATTTTAGTGACGTCATTCACGGAGTATTCCCAATTGTCCAAATCAAACGCTCAATTATAGCAACCATAGATGGCAGAGTTAGCGAGCTATACTTGCCTTGGTGCAACAATCTAAGATCAATCTGAGATGTTGATGGACTCGCATCACATATAAGTCAATATCATCTTCGTTGGGAAACAGATAAGTAGTAAATTACCCGCCCGAATTTTTAAAATCTTTGGACTTAACGAGTGTCTCTGTGGAAATCTATGAGCCGCATTATAATACTATCAGCCGAAACTCTGCTTGCAGTGAAAAAAATTGCAGAGGAACGTAATTCCTCGATTCCGTCGGATATTCTTCGATATTTTCATTCAAGCGCCGACAGTTTCCTCCTCGACTAGCGCTTGCAATCACACGCAACAAAGCTCAGGATCAATCTTTGATTTTAGATATTGTATGAATCACTTTTTTTTATTTGCGCGGCCGATGGTAAAACCAAAAATGTTGTGTATCCAGGTATTAGTAAATAAAATTATGATGAAAATTTAATATATCCAATGTCCCACAGTGAAGCTGTACCCTAGTTAGTAAAAAATTGTTATCTTTTTATGATAAATACTAGGTTTTACTAGCTTTTAACCAAAGAACAGGTTTGAACATAATTTTGCTTAAAACTCCATAACGAAACCCACTGCAGTTGTTTCAAAACTAATTTCGTTCATGTACTTCATGGCTTAGTCGTATGTTATGCAGATGTAGGGTATATGGTCCAGCCTTAGGACATGACAATGTCCATTAGACCATATTTTATATATGGATTGCGGTTAGTTTTGGATTACTCTATTGCCCGCGAAGAGTGTATATTTCAAGCGTGTATGGAGTAATTGCGTTGTTAGCAGTGAAGTCACATACATACGAGTATGTACATAGGTACATTAAGACCAAAAAGTTACCGGATATCGATGATTTCGGTATTCGCGGTTCGGTCCATCATGAATTCCTCCCAAAGCGACAGACGGTCAAGAAAGAGTATTATTTGATCGTTTCGAGGCGTTTGGGCGAAAACATCAGTCGTAAACGGCCGGAATTGCGGCCAACAATCCATGAATTTTTTAGGACGATAATGCGTCATCGCACCGAGCTGTAGTTGTGATCGATTTTAAGACCAAACACTCATTCAATACCATCGATCAATCACCGTATTCAACGGATTTGGCCTCATGTGACTTTTTTGTTGAGGCCGTAAAAGGAAATTTGCAAAGTGAACTGAGGCCGACTGATTTCAACAGCTGATGGAAAGGAACCAGTTGACAGATCGCGCTCATTTTTGGCATAGTAATTAAGGTCAGTGCTACCAACTTAAGAAACAAAGTGCTGAAAAATATTCAGCGCGGACAGTTTAAACGACAATTTCCGGAAACTTTCTGGTCTTAATGTACTTACGACAATGCACATACATGCATAGGTATATAAGCAAGGGAAAAGCAATTCCCATCCCTCCATTTCATTTATATTTATATACGTCTGTACTTGTGTAGTGTGTGCCTTTGAAACCCCACAAATTTTTGTGTCCATATATTACATCCATACCTATATATACAATATTTATGTTAATAAACTTACAAAGAAGTTGAAAAGAATTGCAGCACCGTACGAAAGTTCTCCTTTATCACCACTCAATACTGTTTTGGAATTCATAGTTTTTCGTCTTATGTCCCAAGTGGAAAATGAACTTGAGTAGACGAACGGGAAAACTTCACCCAGAAAAGAAAAAAGTAAAACACAAACAAAGCACTGTTACACACACTTATGTATATATGAATGCCAAAATAAGAACCCTTCTACTGCCTTAACCCTACTGTCAAGGCCAATACAAGCCCTAGTTAATCATGATAGTCCGTATTTTGACCACTCGCACAATAATCCTTATATGCGCTTGCCGCTGGAGCGATTTTCAGTCTAAAATAATGCTTACGCTGGGTAAAAAGTTGAATAGCAATCTTCAAAAACAAACAGTTTGAAAGTCAAATTTTGTATGTTGAAGGGATATCGGCGAACACGTTGTTGAGCTAGTGTTGTTGTGTTTGTTTTACTACTGATACCCAACACCTTCGGCTTTGTATGTACTTTTGTTGGAAGTTTTACGAGTTGGTATTCAAAAGGTCGCTACTAACTTCATCCATTTAAAGCGACTGTTTAACGAATATTACAAATTTATTTAATCGCTTTTATTGCTATTATGTAGAAAAGCTCAACCCTTAGCCAATTTGTACCTTTTAAAGTAAATTGTCAATTACGAAAATTGTCTCTATACAGATTTTTCTGTTTAGGTGGAACTCTCGAAAGTTACCTCTTTGTGGGAAAGTGGCCTAGACAGATCTCAAAACCATCTATTGTTCGATTTGTATACGAAAAGTGAAGTAAATTTTACCGCACTTACGATTTCTAACAAATTTGAAGTCTCCCTCTTTCTCTGGTGCCAAAAAGGGCTACTAAAGTAGATTACAGCGATCTTCTGCTAAATCAAGTCGCCCAAAGAAAAAGTTTGAACCACGGCCTGTTTGAGCTTTGATTTGTTCGATGACATTCCCTATACATCAAATATACAGTACAAGACTTGCTACTAAGTTAATGTTTGAAGAAATTGGGGAAATAATGAAAATTTACTTCCAATTGGTTGTGTATTCAATCTCAGCACGTGCTGCTTAGATTAAAATATTGCTTTTGTAACAAATTAAACTGGCAGCTTATAAAGTCCAAATCGTCCAAGGAGCTCCATGACCCTCAATCTGTCTCCGAACACTACGGATGTAAACCATTAGGAGAATTCTCTGTCGTATTATAGCATTCATCGCGTAACAGACACAATCAACCGTTCGATGTTTTCGGAGAAGGTAGCTCGGTTTCTTTTTGTCGTAGCCATTCTACAATTGTACACACAATAAGGCATGTCTAATAATACAAAAACCAATAAACGTTTCATTTTACTTACATTTTTCAAAAATATATTCAAAAGCCAGCGGAAAAATATGTACTTACTACTTTGGAATAACGAATTTATATTGTTACGATTTTACTAAATCAACCTCGATTATTTTCTAAATCCTTCGGGTACGATCTCTGGATTGTTAAATAAAAACTCGCCAATGCAATTTGCAGTATCTTTTGTTATAAAGAATTAATCTAATATCCTTTATTTACTCCGTAATTCACAATTCAATTACGATACACTTAATTATTTACAATCACTATCATCAACTTTCACAATTTACTCTACTTAAATGTAATCCCAACACGTTTACTTTACGATTTTACTGATGTTAACGCCAACGAGTTTACTTTATCACTAACTTGACTTGCAGCTGAGTGTGGCCTTTATATAGCAGTCGGCTGCTCGCAGACGAAAGCGTAGAAGCATCGAATTGTTC